GTCTTGTTCCTGTTTTCAAGGGGAATGTTTTCAGCCTCTCTCCATTAAGAATGATGTTGGCCATTGGTTTTGCATAGATGCCCTTTATTATGTTGTGAAATTTCCCTTCTATACCTATTATTCAATAAAATATTTTAAAAAAAATGAAAATAGATGGCAAATAAGCACATGAAAAAATGCCCAACATCCTTGGTCATTGGGAAGATGCAAAGTAAAACCTCAATGATTTTAAAACCATGCATACCAACTAGAATGGCTAGAATTAAATGCACATGCGTGCACGCACAACACACACACACACACACACACACACACACACGTGCACACACCATACACACCATACCAAGTGCTGGTGAGAATGTAGACAACTGGAACTCTCTTACGCTGGTGGAAATGATGCAAAATCGTACAGCTACTTTGAAAAGCAGCTTGGCAGTTTCTTATCAAGTTAAACATATACTTATCATATGACCCAGCTATATTGCTTTTAGGTATTTATCCAAGAGAAACAAAACATGTGTCCACAAGACCTGTATGCAAATGGTCTATATTTTGATTGTGGTGGTGGTAACACAATGCATATATTTCTCAAATTTTGCTGAACTGTATGTACACTTAAAAAGGGAGAATTTTTTGGTATGTAAATTATACCTCAATTAAAAAAATTTTTTTAAAAGAAGTGTTTTTAAACACTTCAGAGCTCAGTTCAAGCCTATCTCCTTCATGAGGCTTTCCCTGACCGTCTACTTGTCACTCTGCCTTCTAGTGAGCCTCTTTCCCTTCCAGGTCATTGATGGTTTGAGTTCCCATTAACAATTGCTTGGGATCATTCCTCAGTGCGGCTGCGTCAGCTTCCCAGGGGTGCTGACCCGCTGGACTTGCTGCTTCTCAGGCACAGCAATGTCCTGTCCATACCTGGCCCTATAGGAGGCCAGGAGTGCTGGCTGAGGTGGTGGCAGGCAGCCCTCTACTGAAGCTGAGGAGAAGGGCTGAGACCTGGTGGGCTTCTGTGACTGTCCTGCTTCTCCCTCAAGTCCCTGTGCTCTCTCCCCACAGGTTGGGACAAACATTCCTATGGTTACCATGGCGACGACGGGCATTCCTTCTGCTCCTCGGGGACTGGCCAGCCCTATGGTCCCACATTCACCACAGGAGATGTGATTGGCTGCTGTGTCAATCTCATCAACGGCACCTGCTTCTACACCAAGAATGGCCACAGCCTTGGTGGGTGCATGGGAGGACCTTGAAGGTCTACTCTGTGGAGTCTCTTTGGTTGGTGAGAGGCCCACGGGCAGGTCTTGAGGCCAGAGAAGTGCCACAGGACCTCACTGAGCCCTGGGGGACTCCAGCCATTTCCAGGCACTATGAGGAGGGTAGCAGGGACATGCCCTTTGTTAATCCATCCATTCAGCAGCATTTATGGAGCCCAGGGTTGGTGCTGAGTGCAGCAGTGTCCTAGTCATGATCTTGGTCTTTGTGGTACTTATTGGAGTAGGGTTTGGGATTGGATAAGAAGTTTGAGGGGCCCAGGTTCATGGTTGAAAATGGGGTAGTTTGCATGCCTGTGGCCCAGATGTCGGCCAGTCCTTCTAACAGGTTGCTGGTTGCTATGGAACACTAGTGAAGGCTGCAGTAGTACAGGAGGTAAACAGACAGATGGGGCCAGGTCTCCTCTGCCCTGTCCATGGTCAATGGGCAGTGACCCAGAAAGGGTTATTGTAAAAGGTCTCCTTGGTGAAACTAGGCAAGGGCCCAGGGAAGAGGAAGGTAGCCTGAGGTAAGGCAGTGGTGATGGTTGTGGGCACCTGGGGGATAGGCCTTACACAGGCCCAGGAGTGACCCAACAGGGCTTAGTGACACTAGCAAGAAGGAATGATAGTCCCCAAGACTGCTGCCCTGAGACTCTTTAAACCTTAAACTGAAACTATCCCTTGAAGTCACCTTTTAGCAAAGTAACAAATTGCCTCATAAAGTAAAGAATATAACCTGTGAGTACTGCACTAAAAAATCACCTGTATGAGACCAAACGGTCAACAGTTACCCTAAAGCAAAGATGAGATGGAAAAGGGGCAGGGAAACCAGATTACTGGAAACAGAACAACCAAAATGGAATGAATGAGAATGTTGACACATTGTGAAATATGTTACCAATGTCACTGAATAATTTGTGTAGAAATTGTTAAATGAGAATATAATTTGCTGTGTAAACTCTGACTGAAAACACAATAAAATATTATTTTTTTAAAAAAGGAGTAAGGGGAGAGCAGCTGGGTTAGTAGTGCTGTTAACCAGAATAAGGAACCTAAGAGTCCAGTGGAGAATGTTAAGGGGCCCATAGAATTCCTCGGAGGAACAATTTTGTCCATGTATGGAAATTGAGGATTAGAATTTAAGAGAGAGAGAGGGACTGGCTCTTCTGATGCTTTGTCCCACTAGGTGATGACTGGTTTTTGACGTCTTGAGTGAGAGGGGCCCTTGGCTAAACGCGCCGCAAGGTGGGGCCTAACTGCTCGGCCTATCTGTCTGCCTGTCTGGGATTGCAGAGACCTCTAAGCCCTGATATGGCCACACCCTAGTTCTCCCAGAATGGTGTAGTGAGAAGAGGACTAGCAGAGCCTGACCAGCCAGGCTGGCCGCAGGCCCTGTCAGGAAAGGGAGCTAGACATTTTACCTGGAACCCAACTCCTCAGAGGCCTGCTTCCCCTGGCTTGAGGGGCTGTCAGATGTGGCTGCCATCCCCCACAGTCCCTCTGTGGCTTTTCTAGGAGATGAGCCCAGACAGAATCAAGCGACCTTAGTGAGAATCAGGTTTGCTGGTGGCTGGGGCCACCAGGGCCTCAAGACTGAGTGACCAGGAGCCAGCAACTCTCAACTGGGTAGTTGGATATCTCAGCTCAGAGTGGGCAGGTAAGCTTGGAGAGCTGGGCAGCCAAGAGCATAGCACAGAGCTGCAAGCTTATCCATCCAAGTGCACATCCCGAGAACCCTTCCTCTGAAATGGATGGCCTCCTAGCTGCAGTTGTTGGTATCCAGCTGCTGAGGAGCTAACAGCTGAAGGGCGGGGATGAAATCTCAAGGTGGCTACTCACTCCCCATCTGTTCTAGGAGTTCAGCTCTTTGCTGGCTCTTGGTTCCTCTGCTTCAGAGTCCCAGGGGCCACCATTGTGAGCTCTCATCCTTTACTCCTTCACCTGCCCCTCTGCCCTGGATACCTACTGTCCTCATGTCCCTCCACTTTTGTCTACATGTTGTTCAGAACATGAAACCTGCCATGGGATGCAGGGTTTGGGGCATGCTCTGCTGGCCCCTCTGTATTTGTAGCTCCCTCCTCTGGGCTCTGATGTCCACTAGGACCACCAAAGGGCCATCATTTCTTAGTCAGGTCTTCAGGTCCCACAGGGAACTCCTGGCTTCCTTGATGTCGGTCACAATCCCCAGGCTTTTTAAAAAAACTTACCTCCCCAGTTCCTTCCTTTTTAGATCCCCCCAAGACCTCACACATCTTGTAGATAACTTCAGTTAGTATATTGCCTATTTTTCCAGCTTGTCAAGATCTTCTGTGGTCTTGCTTGATTTTATCTAAAATATTTGATATCCTTTTCAGCAGTTTATTAACCTAAAATTTGATGAATATGTGTGTGTTTTCATCAAGACATTAATAAAAATATTGGAAGAGGACAGGGCTGACATTTGAGCCTTTCAGCCTGCAGATAGACATCAGCCATTTAAGAATTACTCAGTTACGTTAGCTTGAAACTCATGTTTTTCCATTTTTTTACACAAGGATATTATTGAGACCTTACTGAAAAATGGTTATGGCCTGTCCCCCTGCATTTTCTAGATTATGAAATTTAATAGTTCTATTAAAAAGGCGATGAAGCTGGAGTAACAGATAACTTGGGTGAATCTTCTAATGACCCTATTTCCTCTTCACCAGCCATCTTAGCATAGTGTGCTTCAGAATCTCACGTGGGATCAATGGGCCGCTTTAGAGAAGCTGAAGGACGTTTCCTGCCTTTGGTCCTGCTGCCCCTTCCTTCCCTCCGTCATTGCTCTGTAATGGCACTCACCCATTGGTCAATTGTCTGTGTAATTATTAATTGGATGCCATCTCTCTTGCTGGAGTTGGAGCACTTTGAGGGCCAGGCTTGTAGCTGTTTCTGTAGTGCCTGCCACAGGGCCTGGCCTGTGGGAGGCCTCAGCAGCTCCTTGATGGAAGGATGAGTGAATGAAGACAGGAAGCTGACGTCTCCTCCACAGTGGACATGCACCTGCAGAGTCATTGTCCCACAGCTCTGTGCCCCCTCACAGACTCTTTATACTGTCATGTCATCCTCCATGACCCCAGACCTATGTCTCTAGCCCAGGGCACTTCTTATCAACAAGTTTGGGTATCGTGTTTGCATCCTGGCTCTTAGTCTGGACCTTCCTCCTGTGAGCCAACCCAGATCTTGCAATCACAATGCCCTTGTGGAGGCTTACAGAGACCTGCAGGGCTTGGGGAGCAATGTGCCCTTGTCCAAAGCAACAAATGGTGGAGTAACCTCTTTCTTCATCCTCCTGGAAGCACCTCAAGGCCTTATCCTTCCTAGGTGCCATGGTAAGACAGCTGGGCAAGCCCAGGTGGGTCATCCCCTGCCCAGAAGTATGGCAGTCCCCCCAGCCTGTGGTACAACTGCTGCCAGCTTGTACCTGGACTTCATGGCTTATGAAGCAGTGTTCAGAGAGTATCTCATGTTCTCCTTTCTTCTTTGAGGTGTAGAGATTAATGTTACCCCTTTTTTTAGATGAAGACTCTGAGGCTTAGAGAGATTGGGTAATTTGCTAGAGGCCATACTGCAGATAACTGATGGAGCCTGGACTCCCTGCCTTACAGGGTTCCGTGGGCCTCCTCCCTGAGCCTGGGAGCACAGCGGCATCCTGGCTACACTGAGATCCATGAGGACAGCTCCCATGCAGAACTGGAGGGAGGACATTGAGTCTTCCCATGGGTGCAGTCCTGTCAGCTCAGTGACTAGTGACTCTGCATATGGGGCTCAGAAGTAGCCTCAGGCAGGCAGGCAAGCCATGGGGTTTCTGAGCTTCCCTCACTGAGTAGCAAAGCAGCCCAACAAAGCATGTAAACAATCTCTCTGTGCCTTGGTTTTCTCATCTGTAAACTGGGGTTGGAGGTAGTACCTCCCTTCCAACATTGTTCTGAGGATGAAATGATTTCTTGTAAAACACTGATCCCAGCACCCAACCCAGAGGAAGCACATGGCCTGCACTTGCTGGCATGATTCTCGCCCCAGGCTCTTGACTCGCTGTGTGATCATGAAGGGGCCTCGAGACTAGGCTCTCCAATCCCTGAGCTGCTCCCCAGCTCCTGTGTTTACTGGAAGACTGTAAAAATGGCATGGTGGCAGTGTCTGACCTCCTCTAACTTCTCAAGGGGGAAAAAGAATCAAGATCAACAGCCCAGGGCGTATATGAGGCAGAGGTCAGATATGCCTCCTCTCTCTGCCATCTTTACTAATTCTGACACCAACCGTCCCTCCCATGTCCCTCTACTGTGCTGGGTTTGATAATTCATTGCAATGGCCACACAGAACTCAGAGACAATACTCATGATTATGGGGTTTATTAGGGAAGCAACACATTACAATTCAGGTTCAGGAACTCTCAGAATACAGTTCTTCCATCAGGACAGCCTCTTCTCAGCTGTGCTCACAGGCACGCTTCTGTGGCCCTTGGCTTCTGCCCTGCTTGGGCAAGTGTTAACAAAGCTCTTTTAGCTCTGCTGATAAGTGCCCAGAGGTACCCTACTCCACCAGCAAGTCTCCTGCCAGAAGGCACTCAGCTTTCACACTCCATGGGCTGGGAAGCCCACTGCACCATCTCCTGCCATCTCCCCTGGTGGTCTCTCCTGCTGTTTCTCTGCCAGTGCTTCTCTGGCTTTCCTTCCTTGGTGGTGGTGGGATCCTCTCTCTGCTCTGGAATTGGCTCTTTTTTAAGCCTAGGGGGATGGCAAAACTGACCAATCCCATTGGTGGGCCACAATTATTTGCACAGTCCCACCCAATCTTTTGGGTGGGAGTTACAAGACCATGGCAAGAAAGGCCACACAAAAGCGATCCATTGTACTGCAGAGACCTACTTTCAGACCCTCTCCAGTTCATCTGTCTTGCTAGGTTTCAGTTTCTTTTCTGGGTGTGAGTTGGGAGAGCAGCCTGGAACCTCTGAGGAGTTAGCAATTTGAAAAACTCTCAGGCCAAAAGCTCCAGAGCTTCTAGAATATAGATTTTCTCTAAAGAATGAGGGGCTGTGAATCCTTGGGAGAGTCTCTTTTGCCCCTGAGCTCTTTCTCAATCTGCAGAACATAGGTGTTCTGGTAGATACTCTCTGAGGCCCTTTTCCTGTCCATGCCTGCTCATATATTTGTGGTCTCCCACCCTCCTACCCTCACCTTCAATTCAAACCTGAGGTCCCTGGAAATGGCAGCCCCTTCTCTTGTCAGGAGGGATCTGAGGGTAACACAAGCCAGTGCTAACCCAGCCTTGTCATCTTGGAGCCTCTGAGGACCCTGAATGGGAGTGTACTGGAGACAAGCAGGCGCCACACTTCCTGTCTACACTTCTCTGTCAGCTTAGAGATGATGTAGAAGCATCATTTCAGGAGTGAGTCCAGCCCCACCACTTTTGCTAGTTTATGACTGTTTGCAAATCATTTAATCTCTGAGGCTTCCTTTCCTCATCTGTAAAATGAGGATAAAAAAACCTGTTCCCCAGAGTTGGTACGAGAATCAGATAAGATAATGGATGGAAAACAGCCTGGCACACACGGTAGGTCTCCATAAATACATGTTGGATCAAGAGAAAGATCAGGCCTGAAGGGGCCTCAGGGGTACATTATTTGGGTTTAGTCTTTAGCAGTCTTTCCCAGAGCAGGTAGAAGAGCTGTGGACAAGACCCAAGTACCTGACTTCACTTCTAGCTGGGCCACCAAGCAAAGGGAAGGCCAGCGTCTGAAGCTGCTAGGCCGTGGAACAGGCTTGGCCACTGCCTGCACAATGGGCGGCAGAAGGGTAGGAGCCCAAGTGGCTGCCCTCCTCATGTACTGACAACTGTTCCTTTCCCTCCACAGGTATAGCCTTCACAGACCTCCCAGTAAGTACTGCTAGTGGCTCTCCCCGTTCTTGCTGTGTTGGGGACTACTGGGATGGGGTGTGTATGCCTGCAACTACAGGGTGTGGAGTTTGGCCCTTTTCCCAACTGGGAATGTGTGCTGTGCTGTCAGCTTGAGGGGTGTAGGGCTACCTGCTGGCCCTCCTCTCTCCCCAGCAGCAAGGCCTAGTCTTCCTCCACGACTCTTAGCAGGTGACAGTAATTTGTGGCATTTCCAGAGGCAGCCGGGGAGGGCTGGTGTGTGGGTGGGTGGGATAGCTCCATGGCTCAGCTGGTCTGAGCCAGCTCCATGTGGCTTACAGCCAGTGGACTGGGGTGCACAGTGTGGAGAATACCCATCAGAGATCCCTGAGGAGAGCCAGTGTCCTGGGGGATGGAGCCTGCCCCCACTCAGGGAACCCCTGAGGCAGAGAGGTGAGCTTTGTGGGCTTTTCTCTTCTTGGAAGAGGGTGTTTGCTCCTGACTCAGTTCAGAGTTTATCTCCACCGCCAGCCAACCCCTGCCACCTGCACCTTAGTCCTTTGTTATGAGTCATCACAGGCCTCATCACATACAGGGTCCCTACCCAGAATGCTTGGAGCCTGTGTATACTGGCTGGGTTCTGGAAGGAGGGAAGGTTTGCTGCCTTGGGCGGCTGCTTTGGGATCCTGAGCACCCCCACGAAATACCCTTTTGATTTGAGGGGCTTTCTGAAGTCCAGACTGTAGCATCCAAGATTCTGTTAAACCCTCTGGTCTATGGGTCAGATTATCCCACTTACCTGGAGACCAGCACCACAGAGGGGCTGTGTTCCTAGGCAAGAGAACAGACCCAGGAGAATTCCAGTCCAGCTGAGAGGTGTCCAATTGTAGAAATGTGGCATGAAACAGCCAAACGTGGATGTGGGCATTGTGTGCAGCCATGTGCTAGGAGGCATGTGGATGCCCCAGTTCTGTACATGCCCCAGGTAGGGAATGTTGTTGTAGGCACTGATAGTCAGGGAAGGCGGCTGGAGGAGGTGGGCTTTGCCAGAGAGTGGAGGTAGATTAGGGGATAGGAGGGAAAGGAAGGAATTGAGAAGTCTTGTGGGATCAGAGCTCATGGTGGGCTGAACCGAGTGTGCAGGAAAGGCACATGAGTACTCAGGTATGACACAGGGTGGGAGCCATGGGAAGACAATACAGTGTGACAATGGGAAGAAGATTAGTGAGGCACAGGGAGCCACAGGAGGCATAGAGTAAGGAAGTGACCTGGCAAAAGCTGGCTTTATTTAGTTAGTCATGGCAGGGGATAAATGGTGAGCAGGGGGCCCCACACCCACAGAGAGGCATGCCACTCACCTAACTGGCCATAAGATCTTCTCTCAGTGAGCCTCTGACAGGAAGGGCAGCATCAGGGGATCCAAATCTCCTACCTCCCCTTGCCGTGTTCTCCACTCCTTCCCTGTCCTATCCCTTCCCACCCCTTCACATGTCCCTTTTTTGAGGCAAAAGGATCTTTACTACTAGCTGTTTCTGAGAGGAGCCCCAATCCACACCCACAGCAGATCTTCATGGACAAACCTGCAGGGTTGTGGAGCCTGGCCAGGTTCTGTGTCCCCTGGCTGGGTTCTGGAGGAGGGCCTCCGGCCTCGGGAACACAGTGGTCTCTGGTGCAGGACAGGGGATTCCCCATGTTGAGGCTTGCCTGCTTTTCTGTTGCTTTCTCCTCTCAAGCTTAGGGGTGTGGTATTTCTGGTTGGGGGTGGGGGACAGAGTATGGCCTGCCCTGCCTTCTCCAGCCTTTTGCTGCACCTTACAGAGCCCGAGGCTGGGCCTAAGGAGCCAGCTCTTTCCCTCTTCAGCCCTGGATATGAGGTGAGGTCCGGCCACCCCCTTGCCCTTGGGGCTTGACTGACATTTCATTCTCCTCCTCAGGCCAACCTGTACCCCACCGTAGGCCTGCAGACGCCAGGGGAGATTGTGGATGCCAACTTTGGGCAGCAGCCCTTCCTGTTTGACATTGAGGACTACATGCGGGAGTGGCGTGCCAAGGTCCAGGGCACTGTCCACTGCTTCCCCATCAGTGCCCGGCTTGGCGAGTGGCAGGCAGTATTGCAGAAGTGAGTGCCCTGCTCCCACCCTTACTCCCCAATGCGTCCAGGAGGCTCCCTCTCCTGTAGGCCCATGCCGTGCTATAGGCTGCTACTAAGCCCTCCAGTGATAGCGTTTCTCCCAAGAAGCACTCCCAGGGTGACTTGGCCTGCTGCTCCCTGCTGGACTGCTCCCACTCTGTTCTTCAGAGCTGCTCCTAAAACCTTTGCCCTTCAACCAGATTGCAAGGCTCCAGATGTAACATCACCAGCAGGGCTGTTTTCCTTCTCCAGGTCATTTTGCGGAGAATGTGCTAGGATGCTGTATTAGTTTCCTAGGGCTGCTGTAACAAGTACCATAAACTTGGTGGCGTAAAACAACAGAAATGTACTGTCTCACAGTTCTAGAGGCTAGGTGTCTGAAATGTTGGCAGTGTTGATTCCTTGTGAGGGCTCTGAGGGACAATCTGTTCTATGCCTCTCTCCTAGCTTCTGGTGGCGGCCAGCAGTCCTTGTCATTACTTTGGCTTGTGGCAACATAACTCCAATGTCTGCCTCTCTTGTCACATTCTTCCTGTGTGTCTGTATGTCTTTGAGTTTCTTCTCTTCTTAACAAGGATACCAATCAGATTAGATTAGGGCTCATTCTATTCCAGTATGACCTTATGTTAACTAATTACATCTGCAAAGACCCTATTTCCAAACAAGGTCACATTCACAGGTACCGGTGGTTAGGACTTCAACATATCTTTCTGAGGGAAACAGTTCAGCCCATAATAGGTGCCCTGTGGTCTCTTTCTCTGCGGACTTTTTGTCCATGGTGGGGGATCCATCATGCCATGTCACTGGTCTGGGGAATCCTCTTAGGGGTCAGCATCCAGCAAAATCCCATGTATCCATGGCATTGGCGGCATGGAGAATCCTCCCGAGGTCCAGCCTCACTGGTTCTTAGCTGATTAATTCCCAGACTGTTCTGGAACCCAGTGTTGTTGAAACTCCCAAAGGAGGCCAGGTTTGGATGTCTCTTCCACTTGCTGGCTGCAGGTCTGAGTGAGGCAGTGACCAGTACCCACTCTGCCAGGAGATAGGTAGAAGCTTGGCTTCCAAGGGTGGGCAGATGGGTAAAGGGGAAAGGCTGGGCTTCAGCTATCCCTGGATATTGCCCTGTAAAGGCACTTGGGTGCCAGATCCCTTGGGATGGGGTTGGGGTGCACACTGAGTTCTTTGTTCAGCCCTCTTTTCTTGAGGGGTGTGATTGATGCTGGCCCTAGAGAGGGGCAGATGCAGGGGCTAGGCAGCCAGACCCTTTGCAGCAAGGGCAGCACAACCGCATCTTGTTCCCAGAGCTGATGAGAAGCTCCTTCCTGAAGGGCCAGGACAGTGCCAGTGGGCTTGCTGAGAGAGGACAGGGGAGAGGTGGAGCTGCCCACACACACATTCTAAGCTTTCTCTCCTGTACACATCAGGTGTGAAAGTGCATCCTTCTGTTCTGCATGTGTGCACACATGTACACACATATGTCCCTTCTCAGTCTACTTTGGCTGGGGTTAAGTGGTCACTGGGCCTGGGGCTTCTCTCAGCCATTTCCCAAAAGTTGTGCTCCTGAGTGTATCCCTTCCTGGCAAAATCAGCCTGATAGCATGAGTTCTTGGGCCCCTGCTTTGTGGCGTATGATGAAGGAACTTGGGTCATGGGTGGCTCCCAGTCCCCCTCCAGAGCCAGCACTTTTGAGGAGCAGATTTGCCTAGTGAGCTGGAACACTTCTGCTGGGTGCCTGGGGCAGCCTGCCAAGGGACATCTGTGTCTTAAGAAAGTCCACATGTGGCATGCATCACTCTGTGCAGCTGCCAAGCTGCTGTTTTAGGAAGCCCTCGGTGAGACCACTGGCCTTCTCTGGGATAGCTGCAGTCCACAGTGAGGCAGCCGCATCTGTGAGGAGATGATGTGTGCCTGTGTGTGTACTTTTGTTGATCATACTCGCCAACATGTGGGCGGCATATTCAGAAACTGCCGCCACTCCTCCGCGGCAGGAACACAGATGTGGTGAGCAGCCCCTCCCTAGCCTGACTGTGAGTACTGGGGAGAGCTGTCATGGGGTTTCAGCCCCTTTGTTCTCATTCAGTGGATGTGTTTAGGGAAGATATCACAGGTGTAACAGGGACATAGTCCATCACATCAGGTGCTCAATGAAAAATGCAGTTCTTGAGTGTCACCTTGAGCTCTTCCTTTCTTCTAGCATGGTCTCATCTTACCTGGTGCATCATGGGTACTGTGCCACAGCCACGGCTTTTGCCCGAATGACTGAAACCCCGATTCAGGAAGAACAGGCCTCCATAAAGAACAGACAAAGTAAGATTGAGTCTCCTCTCCCATTTCCCTCTCTCATCTGTCCCTAACTCTGCTCTCTGGCTCATGCTGGCCCTGGTTAACCTGTCAGGAGTCTGTTTAGTTTTGGTCCTCACCACCCTAGCAATCAGCCCTAGCCCTGCCTCGAGCCCTGCTCCTGTCCCTCCCTCAGAGCAACACTGCCCAGATGGACAGTCCAGCAGCGTGGACGCATCTCAGTGTGGTCTCCTTCACGCACACTCGGGTGGCTGGGTGCAGGCTGGGCCTCAGCGTGGCTGGATACCGCTCCTCCATGCTGTGTCCTTCCCCTTGAATCCTGGATTCCACTCAGCCTCCTTTTCATGGTCTTCTAGAAAGAGTGTGTTTGCATCTTGTCAGACCAATGCCCTGCCTGTGCCACCATTCACTCACTCAGGTTCCGCTTGTTACTGGCCAGAGAGGACTGATGTGGGCAGAGGGTGGAGGCCAGTGCTCTGTGGCCGCACCTACCTCTGGTCTTGCCCTTTGCAAATGACCTAGAGTCCTTCCTTGGTACCTTGGCCAAAGGGAGCCTTCCTGTTGTTCGTACTGTGTGTGGGAGCTCTTTCATGGAAGGAGGGGTGTTGGGAAAGAGGAAAACAGCCTGGAAAGGAGTTAGGAGGAGGAGAGGAGAGTGAGGGTGAGTGGGTGTGTGTGTGGATGCATGTCTGCATGTGCCTGCTGCGTCTCTCTGAGCCTGTCATCTCTGTGTATGTGCATGTGTCTGTGTCTCCCAGAGAAGCTGCACTCAGCCAGACAGATGGAAAGGGATCCCAGACTTGGGATCTTGAATGAGAGAGCCTCAGACCCAGAAGTCGCTCCCAGAAACACGCGCCAGGGTCCAGGGCAAGAGCAAGAACGCAACAGCAAGATGCTGATGGCCCAAGAGGTGCCAGCATCAGAGGTGCTGGTGTGAGGAGGATGACGTTCTCTCCCGACAGGGAGCATGCTGAGCACCCGAAGACCACCCCAGACATCGGCCCTGGCCAGAAACTGCTGTGTTCCCATTGCCACTCACCTGAGAGGCCAGGCAAGAGAGAATTCAGCCTGAAGAGGAGCCCCTAGGGCCACCAAGCTGCCTGGGTGTCCATCCCCAGTTCACTCTCCCAGGGCCAGGGTTCTTCCCCCCAGGCTCCTGGCAACTTGCACCTCACAGGAGCCAGCCTCCAAACTTGCCCTCCTGCCTCAGGACTGAGATTGCCCCCTCTATTTTTCTCTCTTCTTGAGGGCTCCCTGAAACTTGTCAAAAACCAGGGATTATTGTGTGCTTGGGCAACCAGGTTCTTCCTTCAGCCTTTTCTCCTGTGGGCACATCAGCCTGGCCAGTCACTCTGAGCCAGCCTGTCTGGTCCGTCCATGCTCCGAGTTGGTGGTGTGCTGGGCGTTGGCTTTGAGGAGGTCTGCAGTCCCTCGTTCACTGCCGTGTTCTTGCTCTCTGCAGAGGTCCAGAAGCTGGTGCTGGAGGGCCGTGTGGGTGAGGCTATTGAAACCACACAGCGCTTCTACCCAGGGCTGCTGGAGCATAACCCCAACCTGCTCTTCATGCTCAAGTAAGTCTTGGGCATCACCAGCTCCCCCATAGCCTAGCCCCTCTTGCTGGTGGTGGGAACATACAGCCCGGGCCAAGCCCAGAGCATTGCCGCTCTGCTCCCTCTGCAGGTGCCGACAGTTTGTGGAGATGGTGAATGGGACCGACAGTGAGGTCCGCAGCTTGAGCTCCCGAAGCCCCAAGTCCCAGGACAGCTACCCTGACTCCCCCAGCCTCAGCCCCCGCCATGGCCCCAGTAGTTCCCACATGCACAACACAGGTTAGCCACTCTCCAGAGGGCTCTGGGAAGAACTGGTGTGGAGAAGAAAGACCATCCCACATGCCTTTCCCTCACTGGGCTCAGAGCTCACTGCTGGCTTTGGGCAAGGGAGATGGGACCACTGGTCATTGCTGGGGCCCCACTTGATGGCAAGTTGCCCCTCCTTTTCTGACTATTCCCTGGCTTCCAGGAGCAGACAGTCCCAGCTGCAGCAATGGCATCGCATCTACCAAGAGCAAACAGAACCACAGTAAATACCCTGCACCCAGCTCCTCCTCCTCCTCCTCATCCTCTTCGTCTTCCTCCTCCCCATCCTCCATCAATTACTCTGAATCCAACTCAACAGACTCCACCAAGTCCCAGCCCCACAGCAGCACCAGTAACCAGGAGACCAGGTGCCTATCTTGCTCTGATTCCTTCTCCCTGCCTTCTGCTCTGGGCCAACCTGGCCCACTGCAGTCTGTCTTTAAGTGCCACCCCTTGCCCTTCACCCCCCACCTCCATCCGAGGTCTGTGCCTGAGTCCTAGCTGTTGACCTGCCAGGCTGGGCATTGGCTCCAGCTTCTGTCCCCATCCCTGATTTGGCTGCCACTTTCCTCAGCCCTGGATTTCCCAGAGGTGCTGACATTGCCATGCTGAGAATGTGGTCTTTTCCAAGAAGGCTAGGCCTGTCTGAACCCCAGGGTCTGCTAGGAAGGAGCTTTCATTGGGCCTGGCTTTGGACAGCCAGGTTGGGCAAGCACAGGTTTAGGCTGCAGACTGTAGCACCAGGTGGCTTTCAGCAGCCCCCAGTTATGCCTCAGGGCAGACCTGGGTTTGGCCTCCCCCAGACAGCCCAATTGTTGGGGGGAGTGGGTGGGCGCTGTGTGTGGAAGGGGTATGCCAACTCAGAGGAGATCCAGGGAAAGAATGGTCACAGGCAGCAGTGGGACAAGAGTGGGAATCAGGTGACAGGTCTGTGAGTGTCACAATAGGGGCTCAGGAAATATTTGCCAAGTTTTGGAACCTGGGAAGCCTGAGCTGTCCTTTCATGCTCCTGGGGGCCCTCAGTTTACCTGTAGCAACCTGTGGCTAAAGCCTGAATGGAGGCCCAGCCAGGCTGCTCCAGCCACACTTCTTTGGCCAACTCCCGCTTCAACCCTTCTCCACAGCGACAGTGAGATGGAGATGGAGGCAGAGCATTACCCCAATGGTGTGCTGGAGAGCATGTCCACACGCATCGTCAATGGTGCCTATAAGCATGAGGACCTGCAGACAGATGAATCCAGCATGGGTAAGGGCCTTGCCTCAGCATGCCCAAGCATGATGTTCCATGGGAGGGCAATGCTTAGTCTGGGTGACCTCTTCCTCCTGGGGAGGGGGCTGGGATGAGCAGGCTTTGCTGACTTGACAAGCTCTAGCCAGACTTGGTCCACTGCCTCTTTAGCCAGTTGTGCCTGGGTCCTTGAGGTGGCTCCAATGGTAAAGGAAGGTCTCAGCCTTTTGACAAGACCAGGCCCCCTGCAGTTGAAGCTAGAGGGGGTGTGTGAGTGTGTCTGGGCAGGGTGGGAAGACGGAAAGCACCTGAGTCCATTTTGACTCCTAGACTACATGCTTAGTTACGGACAGACCACCTGCTCCTCCCAGCCCTCACCTGTTTCTGGTAGAAGCTGCAGCCCATCCAGGGTCCTTCCTGCCAATGTTCTCTTTGGGCCCCCTTCCCCAGTCTTTCCCTTCTCTTCTCACCCTTCCTGATGTGTTCTCTGCTGGGCTCTGGGCACAGACGATGGGCATTCTCGGCGGCAGCTCTGCGGAGGGAACCAGGCTGCCACAGAAAGGATTATCTTGTTTGGCCGTGAGTTGCAGGCACTGAGTGAGCAGCTGGGCCGGGAGTACGGCAAGAATTTGGCCCACACGGAGATGCTGCAGGTACAGGACAAGCCAAGCCCTCACACAGAGCAGGTTTCCGTTTGGGGGTAGGGACAGGGTGGCTCTAGAAGGCCTTGGGGGCAGTGGCAGTGGGATAGAATGGGCCCTAGTCAGGCCTGCAATAGGAAGAGGGTCATCTGGGATGTACCCTCAACCCTCTCCAGGCTCTGGGGAGGGTGCAGCCCTGCCTGGACCCTTCAGTCCAGATATGCCCTCACTGGGCACCATGCAGGGCTCTGGCCCTCCCTGGAGCTGTGGGGGCATGTGTGATGTGTGTGCCACAATCCTCTTCAGAGTGCCCTGTCCCCTAGGATGCCTTCAGCCTGCTGGCCTATTCGGACCCCTGGAGCTGCCCTGTTGGCCAGCAGCTCGATCCCATCCAGAGGGAGCCAGTGTGCGCTGCCCTCAACAGCGCCATTTTAGGTAAGTGGATCTAATGAAAACAGAAGCTGGCCCATGAGTGCCTGGGGTGGTCCCCTCCTCTCTGCCCCTAGGAAGAGCTGATGTTTGTCCAAATCGGGGCATCAAGCACTGCCCAGACCCTTCCTGGTGAACCACAGGACTCCTGGGCTCCTGTGGCTGAACCCAAGCCCTGACCTCCCTCTGCCTAACTAAGTTGGCTGGCTGGATCGTGATGGGCGTTAGGTCATGACCATGGGCCCAGGCCAGCCCACTGCTCTAAGGAAGGCTAGGGCCCTCAGGTTCCTGACATGGCTATAGGGCCATGACCTAGTGGCTGGGACACACACACACAGAGACACGTGAACACTCAGTTCCCCTACCTCCCACCCCCAAGGTAACTTTGACCTGGGCCCAAGCCCTGGGCAGGGCAGTGACAGGCTTTGTCTCTCCTCCACAGAGTCTCAAAACCTGCCAAAGCAGCCCCCTCTGATGCTCGCCCTGGGCCAGGCCTCTGAATGTCTGCGGCTCATGGCCCGAGCAGGCCTGGGATCTTGCTCCTTTGCCAGAGTCGACGACTACTTGCACTAGCTGACCACACTGGCTGGCCCCACCTGGCCTCTCACGGCCTCCAGGCTGGAGCAGCCCTGCCCTCCATAGGCACCTAGCACAGGGACCTGGAAGCCATGGGCAGAGTCCACTCCTGCCGCCACCTGCCTGGCCTTCCCCTCTTCTCCTTTTCCTTCCTGCCTTCCTTTCCTTCCTTCTTTTTCCCCCTCCTTCAGTCTCTCTCTCCCCTTCACGTGCGGCGGCCTATAACACAGTATTGGCTGGTTACTCTCATGTAGCGCCTTCTACTTTGAAAGGGGGGTTTTGTTTTGAAGAGAGGTTGGGTTTTTTAATCTTTTTTTTTCTCTCCTGACTGAGCCACCAGTATTTATCTCTGGAGAGTTTGTGCTGAGCTGGTTTCTGCTAATTTAGTGACGAAGCCTATCCAAGTTGGTGATAGCTTATTATTTTCATAATTAAAAAATGAGATTTTATATATATATGTATATATATGTGTGTGTATATATATATATATATATATTAAAAAAAACAAAACAGTATTTATCGTAGTGTTAGTGGTCCAGCACCTATGGGGTGAAGCTGTCCAGACACCGTATGTTTTTATTCGACTCCCACTCATTAAAAAAGAATCACCTCTGTCACCTCAGTCAGCCAAGTGGTTTGTTTTCTTTTAGGCTCCCCCTTCTTTGAGGCATAGATCCAGCTGCAGCCTAGGGAAGCCGAATAGAACTTTGGGAGGGGGACATAGTGGGAGGGGACCTAAGCTGGTTTGCTGCATCCCCAAAAGTGTGGGGCCCCAGGCCCCTGAGAGCTGGACTGAGTAGAGAACTGCAAGGCTTAGGGTCCAGAGAAGTGACAAGTTGGCCCAGGGCCACACAGCAAAGCAAGGGAGTAGAGGGTCCTTGGCCAGCACGCTGTCTACCATCCTACCCTGCATCTCACTGCCTGCCTCGCTCCTTTTCTCTCTTCCCTTTTTTACACCCTGCTTTCCCTTGTTAAGATGGCCAAATAATTCATTTACTCTGAAGTGATTGCCTGGAAACTACCTGCCTTTGACCTGAGAACTGCTGTGTCAAGCTGCGGGGAGGAAGTCTCCATTCCCAGGACAGAGGCCCTTGAGTATCTTCTCCATCTCTGCACAGTTCTGTTGGAATTGATGCTTTCTTGTGGAGAGCCAGTCAGTACCTTGTGGAGGCAGATTCTTGGGTTGGCAGATGCCTGGAGCAGCAGAGCCCTTGACCCCTGGGCCAGCCCTCACTCCAGTTGTGCCAGGCAGCTCCCTGCAGCTTGGCCCCAGACACTCTTCAGGAAAATGTCATGTTTGCTGGCCAGAGGAAGGCACCTCATGGGCTTTACAAATGTCCCACTAGATGTTTCAGATGGATCCTCACAGCTGGTGGGGTATTACCATCAGGAATTGGAAGAGGAAGGTCTTAGATGGTTGCCAGGACTTGATGGGCCATCTGTGGAGAGGGTTTGCAGCCCAGGAGAAGGGAAGGGAGGAGACCTACCCAGAGGAGTACCACGAGGGGTGGCACTTCCCTACCTGCCTCACAGGGCTTGGGGAGAATACAAGTAGCCTTCTGCAAAGGGGAGGGTCAGACGTGGCAAGGCCAGAAGTTGAACTTGTAGGCCGTGCAAGCTATTGCTCCATGTTAGTGGACATAGGAATGGTTGGTACAGCCTGAGATACTCAACACCCACCAGGCCTTGACAGGCCCACATCTGGACAACAAGAAAAATGATTGAGTTGGACCAACTGCTGGAGATGGGCAGGAGCCTAGCCCTGTGCTCTCCCACAGTTCTGCCTAGAGAGTGACTCTATGGGCTGCTGCTTTTTCTTGGTCTCTGCCAGGGCCCCAGCTGGCAGCCCACAGACCATGGTCCGTCGGAGAGGTGTTATCCTGTCTGTAAAGGAAGTTCATCTTCTTCAAGGCTGGGAATGCCTAGCTCCCAAACCCAGAGGGTAGAAACATCAGGCTGTTAAAATGATCATAGCCTAGCAGAACTGGGAACTAAAACCAAAGGCTTTTGCAGTGGGAACAGAATTCAGAGGACATCTGCTCCACCAGTCCTCGCCTTTTACAGATAAGGAAACAGGCCCAGGAGATTGATTTGGCCAAAGTCACACAGCAAATTAGCGGCAGAGCTGGGGCTAGCCTCATCCCTTCTGGTTGAGCAACACTGTTTAGTCCTAAAGCTGAATGGTGGATGAGCCCCCTGTCAGGGGTTAGGCTGGCGTGGCCTCCAGCAGCGACTGAGCAGGGGTGGGGATGGGTGCCTGGTCTTGGCTTTTGGAGCGGCTGAGAATGTCCCAGGAGGGCTTGGGACAGCTGCGTGCTGCATGGGGTTTGGTGTCCGCCTGGCTTGCACTCAGTACCCATGGCCGCCTCCCCATTTTCTGTGCCTTATCTCACTGTTTCTGCTGAGTCCAAGTTGTTTACTCTGTTCCTCTCCAGAGGGGTTCTCTGTCTCAGCTGGACAGCTCACCTTCGGGACATAAGCCTTTGCCCCACAAGCCGTGGAGAGGGCCAAAAACAAGCTGCTTGAGCCCACCGTCTTGCTGATAGTGCAGGCCTGCCTGCCAGCCGGAGGAGCCCCTATGCACACTTGGTCCTACCCACCCGCTTCCAGGAGCCGAGTGGGGAGGCTCCTGGGAGGAGCCTGGTGACGGGCTGGACCTGGCTCCGTGGGGCTGTCCAGCCCTGGGGGAGCAGCCTTCCCTACTTACTTTCCCCTTTGCGGCTCCAAATGGTCGCTCCTTCCAGAGTGGGAACTGGTAAATCACTCAAAGCCAGAACCCCTGATCTCCCCCGACATGGGTGCAGGCTGTCAGAACAGGGACACCAAGAGACAGAGAAGATGGGTCTACCCGGCCACCCAGCGCCTTTCCACCCCTTAAGCAAGCACAAAGAAGATGAGGCAGAGAACTGTTGGAACTGCAAGTTCCTTTGGTTGCTCACAACTCAGGTATGCACACCGTGAGGCAGCTGAGCAGCAGAGCCCTACTTGACTGCCAGTTTGGTGCAGCCGGACCTGGGGCCAGACTGTGGCCTCTGGCTGCCTCAGGCGCCCACCTCTTTGCATAGGGTTTCCCTCCATTAGTAACCACAGCTAACAGACGTCCTCCACATTGTGCACACTGGCTCTACCTTTGTCTTCGCAAGTTGTTAATTGGCATTAGCATGAAACTTGCGGGCGCGGGAGGGTTTAGAGAGAATTCTAACACAAAATATCCTATTAAAATTGTACTTGAGCGATGAAAAAACTCCTGTTGTATTTTGACAGAATTATTTTTATTAAAATACACATCCATGAGCAGTCACGAGTGGTCTCTATTTTGAGTCTTTCTAGGGTTGACACTCCCTTGTGGCACACCCTTTCTTGGAGAGCTTGGCTCTTCCTCAGCCCACCTCCCCTTGAGTGCCCAGGTCCCTGATACCTCCTCAGGGACCCTTGAAATTTCGGGTGTTTGGAAGACCCCAAAGAGGATAAGCACTTAACGGCTTTCATTATAGACAAGAAAAAAATCAACTTCAGAAAGATGGGCCACAGGACCTCCTCACCCCAAAATAAGATTTTAAGAATAACTTCCAAGTACACATACCCCAAACACTGGACAGTCAGAGCTCTTCTGAGGGATACTGAGATTAGCTCCCTGCCTATTAGTCTGAGGAGAAAGAGCTTGTGCTCAAAATCCTAGCTCTGCTGTTTACTAACTAGGCTGACTCAGGCAAATTAATTTTTATGAGTCTTAGTTTCCCCATCCTTAAAAGATGGTCAGTCCTTCTACCTCATAGATCATATGTGTGAACATCCTTCCTCCATTAGGATGCTCCCTAGTGTGGCCTGCTTCTGCCTCATTCTGCCTTCCCTGCCTTCAAGGTCCCTGCCATCCTGGGCACCAGGGTTTTACGCAGAGGGCTGCAGTAGATCATGCTGGTGTCTACCTGGAGGGGGCATTGGAAACAGATTGAAAGCAAAGAAACCAGCTAGCAAGCCACTGCAGTAGGCCAGAGATGAGAGGGCAGGTTTGAGAAATATTTAGGAGATCAGTGTTGGCACGACAGGATGACTGACTGAATGTGAGGGATGGGAGAAGCAGGAGATATGACAAATGCAGGCTTTTGGTTTGGGTGATGGATGGCTAATGATGCCACAAGCTAATACAGGGAACAGAAGGGACCAGGTGGTAGCTAAAAGTCACTGGAGTGGGTAGGTTTGCTAAAGGAGATTATACAGAACCATGGCTCAGGGAGACATCGTTCCAGCAAAAAAGTTCTGTGGTCCAGCAAGTTAGAAAAACTCTCAAATGGACATTCACAGTGAACATGACCAGCTAATGAAGAGTACTAAAAATTCTATGTTAAGATGTGTTGTTTATCCCAGCACTTGACAAACTTATTTTACAAAAGAATGCGTCACTCGGGTATCTTCCAGGACTATAGTTCTACAGAACCTTCTTAGGGAAAAGCTAATGTAGAGGGAAGAGTGGGGTATTAGATTAAGCACAAATGTCCTAGTTCCGTAAGCAAAGCTAGAGGAGGTTCTTTTCCCTCTGGACTAGTGGTTATCAACCTGAGAGCGATTCACCCCCACCCCCACCCCCCCAGGGGACATTTGGCAACGTCTGGCAATATCTTTGGTTGTCACAAGTAGGGGTGGGGCGCTACTGGCAGCGGGCCAGAGATGCTGCTAAACACCCTACAATGCACAGGACAGCCCCCCAGAACAGAATTATCAGGCCCAAAAAGTAGTGCAGAGGTTAAGACACCTTGCTCTAGGAGCTTTGAACAATGACTGAAAAAACAGATTTTAACACAGGCACACTTTGATTCTGCCTCCTTTCTGTCTGGCTGTGCAAGACCCAAAGGGGAAGGAAGAAAGGGATAAAACCCGACCGGAATAGGGGGGTTTGAGGTTACAATTTCTCAACACCCTGGGAGCCTTCCATGCTAATGAAGGAGGCAGCAGTGGTGGGAAGTCCTGTTTCTTCCAACCAACGCAGGGATAACCCTGCTGGTCAGCAGGTCTCAGCAGGAGCAAACTGCCTCAGCTCAGCTGGCATGTGCCGGCATCACAGGCTGTCCTGGAGAGATTGTCAGGGGACCCTCCTAATGCCAGTCGAGTGGCGGGGGTGTGGGTGGTTCAGACTGTCACCAGGAGAATCGGACAAGCAGGGGAGGGGACTCCTTATGCAGAAATAACCCCGTTCTTTAAAACTTACAGCTGAAAAGTCCAATCACATTTCTAACACAGCCAGTTTTACACTAACTCTACGGGCTTCACTAGTCAAGCAGGCAGTCTGGTGAACCAAAGGGTAGTCTTGTTACAAATAGTCTTTACTGTGAGGAACATAGGATCCAATAAAGAGGTCAAGGGGACTTAGGTCACAGTCCTTAAGACCACTGATAATTAAGGAACATCCAGAGGAAGAGGGACCGAGACAGGCACTTGAAAACAGGAAAATGAGAGTCATTAGGAGTCAGAAAGTCCGGCGAGTTCGAGATAACTGGCCTTCTGAGGAGATAGATTGTTGTCCAACACCTGCCCTTCCTTCATCCCAGGACAACCAAGGCCGACCACAATGCCCAGAACTTCCTCTCTTCTGAGGCTAGAATAGAATTCCGAGGGTAGAAACCAGCCCGCTCCGCTGCCTCCAGGGCCGGAAAAGAATAACCGGGATCCCTAGCCAGGCTACTTAAGCTCCGCCCCCAACGAGCGACCATGCGCAGCTCTGGGTTACGGCCCCATCCCGTACAGGTCCACCCCCGTCAAAGAGCATGCGCAGTCCTTCGCTATCCCGTCCATCCTTTTTCTGAGCCTCCGGTTCCTTAGAAACCTGGCGCGTTCCCGGTGGCGGCGCTCTGTACTCTGGTGTCCGCGCGTCGCCGCCAGCCTCCCTCACCGCTGGCCGGTGGCGGCCGAGACCCGTCCGGACCCATGGTCTCTAATGCGGCGCGGGGCGGTAGATGCCAGCGTGCCAGGTGAGAGGCGCCCCGCGGCGGCGGGTGTGGGTAAAGGAGGGCATGGCGCGGCCGCGAGCGGGCGCCGGTCGGGCCTCCTCCGCGGCCAGGCGACCGAGGTCAGAGACAGCGGTACACCGAGCGTGGGCCGGAGGGGGGCCGTTCTAACTGCCAGCATGGCCCGGGTGCGGAGTTCGTGGTCGAGGGTCGTCCTGGGGTTCACACTCCCCATTCCAGAAATGGGACCTGCACGTTTGGTCGTAGAATTGTAGAATTTGTGATCCTGGAAGGAAGGACCTCAGACAGAAACCATCCCTTTACCAGACGCGGAAACCTGGGCTCCTCCACCCTGTACCGTCTAGACCCCCTACCTGTGTGAGGATGGACGCTTTGTAGATGAGGATGTGTGAAGTGTGGAAGCCGCAAACAAAGGCCTCGCGGGGTAGCTGGGCCATTTTTTTTTCAGAGTGAGAAGGTACTTTTTGGAAACGGTATTCAGGTACAAGTGGGAAGAGGGACACCCCAGAAGGTGCGGGTGGCTCTGCCAGCCCTAGGGCCCACTTGCCACGGCATTCCCACATCTCGATGGTTCTGGCCTATCTCTGAAGCTCAGGAAGGGGGTATACGGACTTGGGAAGACAAAGGTGAGGACATCAAGGCATTATCCCACATGAATGGTGAGGGCAGAAGAGGGGGGCTGGAGATGAGCACTTGTGAGTGGTTGTGTGAAGAGTTTATCTCCCAGACAGCTGCGGAATCAAAAGAAGAAATCTGGCATAGAAAAGTTTAAAGCAGCATTGGATAGATACCAAGGAAGATTATAAGCCATCTTATTTATGTTCATTGTTCCCGTAGTGTCACCTGAGGGCAAGACACATAAGGAAGAAAGTGGGTGCCTTTTGAGTGTACAGAACCAGGGCAGGCACCACCCAGAGGACCTTTGTAAGCTATGGAGCACAAGGGCCTCTGAAGGAAGAGTCCTTAGTATGTGACCTTTCAGTTGAAGGGAACAACTTTTAAATTAGAAAAGAAAGACAAAGTGTTATTGTGATATGGAAGAGGGTTGTCTTTAAGAGTAGAAGCTAGATTCATTCTTGATAAAGAAACTCATTTCTTCTGAAAAGCTACACCAGGGAACAAGAGTTTTAAGGCCATCCACTTTACAGAAAACTTGAAAAAAAACTGCTGTTTTTGGACTAGGAGTTTAGAGAATCTGTCCGGACAAAGAGGTGAGAATTTTCAGCAGACACTTCTGTTGGTGGAATATCCATTTTATAGGCTCTGTTGTGAGAGGGTTTTTCTTACTACTTGGTTGCCCCACTTTTTCTATGGTTGTGGGTCTTATCCAGTTATTTTTATTTGCTAAGGAATTTCGGATATATCATTTCTATAGAAATATTAGAAGCCGTTAGTAGTAGGACTACCAGTAGGAAAAAAAAAAGATCCCCCCTCCAAAAAAAACAAAGAATTCACTATATGGAGGGAAAGTGTGTGATTTAAAAAAGATGGCTCCTGATTCTAATCATCATCATAAACTAATTTTCAATACATATTTTACTTAGCAGCAAGGTGGGTTTTTTTTTTTTTTTCCTCCAGAGTGTTAAGAGAAGATACATCAAAAGTTTTATAATAGGTCAAATAAATTTGAGGAAGAAATCTTTGTCTGAGTTTCAGTCAATGCCAGACCATAACTATGGATATTGTGGCTGTGCATTTTATTGAGTTTTCTTGTATCTGTGGAAATATTATGTATAAATATCTCAGGAGATAAAATGTGGCATTATCAGAAGGATATGTAATTTGTGGGGAAAATCAGCACTGTTAATCAAATCCTATCAGGAAAGCTTCATGAAAATCATTGTAGTTTGTGTAGGAACCTCCATTAGTTTAGCATTGGTTCACATCAAAGTACGGTATGTAGGCCAAAATCAAAGTAAAATGTAAGGGAGCAGTTGGCCAACTCTTGAACCTGAGGCGAAGCTGGATAGGGCTTGGGAGGTGCTTTGAGTCTAAGTACCTGCTTGAACGAGCTGTTGGAGAAGATACCACTTAAATGTAGTGACTATGTCCACATTTGATGTGGGTGCATTTTCTGAGCTCCTACAATTTAAAAAAAAAAAAATCATTTATTTTCAGAGGAGAAGGTGAACTTACAGAGGACTCTTAAAATGTTTCTTAGTTGCTGTGACAGTGAAATCTTTGACAAATAATTACTTAACACCCACTCCATTTTCTGGGGCAGCTGAGGGCAGTTATTAAATCTGGCCTATAATAAAGTAATCAACAGTATCTGACAGGTCAACCATGAGGAAAGGGTACCAGATAAAGCAGTAATGCTAACAGGATCTACTTTCACTGAGCTGGTTTCCTAGTTTTCCGATAAGAGTAAAAATGAAACAGGGATGCAGTGTTACTGATGTAAGAAGTTGTAATACAGAAGTCTGTGTTCAGAAAACACAGGAAGTAGAGTCCACTAACTAAGAAGTAGGAAAAGAACCTTTCAGATTCTTGAAAAGTCATTCATGGACATTTATAGTAGGGGTTGTATTTTAGGATAAATCCACTATTGGAATTGGAAAGCATCTATGGAAAAAAATTGAATTGGAGATTTTGCTGTTTTTAAATGGTATATCAAAACCAAAAAACCAAACCCATTGCCATCAAGTTGATTCTGACTCATAGCGACCTTATAGGACAGAGTAGAACTGCCCCATAGGGTTTCCAAGGCTGTAAATCTTTACTGAGGCAAACTGCCACACTTTTCTCCTGCGGAGAGGCTGGTGGGTTTGAACCACTGAACTTTTGGTCAGCTGAGCACTTAATCACTGTGCCACTAGGGCTCGTAGGTTTTTATATGGTATAGTAATGGGAAATTATTTTCCTTACATAAGTAGCAGTTTATAATAACTTCATTGTATTAGTAAACTTCAAGAGAGTCTAAAAGTTCAAAATACTTGAAAATTTTTATATCAGGCATTTTAAAAAGTAGAGAATGAAAGATATTTGAAATAAGCTTGGGCTCATGAAAGTCAGAATGATAAGAGATACTGAGGAAAAACATGAAACAGTAAGACTTCCCTACACTCTTAACATCCACTGATGAATTAGACACTAGGTCAGGAATGAGCTCCCTAAAGTACCATCTCTTCAAACCAAGGCAGAGTAAATAAAAAGTGGAATAGATTTTTCTATCTGATGGTGATGGGAAACAATACTTAGAAAATAGGGATTAAACGTTAAGGAGGAGATAATATTTGTGCATTACTTCAGTCTGTTGTTGTTAGGTGCCGTCAAGCCAATTTTCAACTCATAGCAACCCCATGTGACAGAGTAGAACTGCCCCATAAGGTTTCCTAGGCTGGAATCTTTACAGGAGCAGATCGCCAGGTCTAAAGATACTCAAGCGTTATCCCTAAGCACTTGTTCCTTAGTTGCTATTCTTAGAAGCAAAATGGCAAGTAATGCCTTTGTCCCAGGTTCTGTCAGTTCTTAAGTCATCCAGTAACAAAATGCCACACTCTGGGACCCAGGGTAGCCTTACAATTGCTGGGGGACAGTTTACTCTTCCCCACTGCTTTGCAAAGCCATTTTCTAAGAGGTGCTTCTGTAGGCGTTTCTATCAGTCCTCTACCATGAAGAGTTAGGAATAGGGCTGTGAAGAACAGGAACTGGGTACTGCACAGTCTTCCTTTCTGACCTGAGATAACTGCTACTCTCAAACTGTCAGCTCTCAATTTCTCAGGAGAAATACATAACCTCAAAATAGAGAGGACCTGGAACACTATAACTTGGCTTTGAGATTTGCCATATCACTTTACAACCTCAAAATCTTTATTATTACTTTCACAATTATATTTTGTTTAGAATGATAACCTTAGGCAAATCATGTAACTTCTGGATCATAATTTCTTCACCTGTATAATTTATAACAGAAATTGAAAATAACATAAATGTCTAACAGTAGTGCATCACGTGAACTTTAAAAATCAGAAAATTCTAAAATACTTAAATGAACGGATATTATCAGGTAGGTATATCTTACCTGAATTTTGTAACTGGCCTCCTTCATTACACATTAACCAAAAAAAAGGAAAAGGGGGGAGCAGTGTGGCAAAGATTATTGTGAGATTACATTATTTTACACCTCACATTTAACAGCTAGAAGATTGTTAAATCACATCTGAGCATAGTCATGCCCAGCTGGTCGGCAGCTTTTTGCATACAAGTAGGAGACACTTGTGAAGAGTGTCAGGCATTTCTAATCAACTGGGGAACTACTTACCCTTCTCAGTAACCTTTGGTGTGTAACATACTATCACCGGTTGTGGGTTGCTGTACCCCTGGATGCCCTAAGAATGCCCTACACCTGAAGTCCAGAGGCAAGGCAAATGAGTGACCCAGATTGTCTTCGCTGCTGTAGAAATAGCCAGTTTTCTCAGGAGCAGAGTAATTTATTCATATAGAAGGTGGAAAACACTAAGAAAATGTCAGTTAATTATTAATTAGGTTTATAAACTGAAAAACATTTATTATAATAACTAAAAATCACCCACCACTGAATTGGTGTTTCAAAATGGTTAATTTTATGTTATGGGAATTTTTACCTCAATTAAAAAAAAATGTTGAATTAGCAGATGTTGTATTATATATATTTTTACAGTAATAAAAGCAAACAAAACTCACCCTTTTCTCGGGACCACAAGTAAAACAAGTTTATAACATACCTCTCTCTAGATTGGCTACTTCACTTGCGTCATGGACAAGTATGTTTTACATCAGTGATTTAAAGGCGAAGGCAGTCTTGTTCACTTCCCTGCTACAGGGAAAGATCTTTGAACACTCATTATGTTCTTATGTCAGATCGTCCTTGGTGCTCATCTGTGGATATAACAAGAAATGGAAACTGTAAGCACCAAGGACCTGGCCTATCTAGATCACTGCTGTGTACCCCAACTCTGGCATGGTGTCTAACTCATTCGAATGCTTAAAAAGTACATGTGGAATGAATGAAGAAAGAACTC